CTGAAATTAGTCTCAGGCAGCATAACTGAGGCAAAGAATAATCACACAGTGTGCACCCGGCTTTAGAAGCACATTGATTAAGAAACAAAGCTGATCTCTGGTTTATAGGAACACAGAATCAATGCTAACCCACAATGCATTACTAACACCATAGGTGAAGCAGTTCAAATAGCTGTAGAAATCGCTAAATGAGCAACATGGAAGCATGTGACGCTTCCAAAACAACTGAGCACCCTCATGGAAAAAAAGCTTTAATGTATTGAGGGTTTTTTAATGAAGAAAAAGCAACACTGTCCAAGCAACAAATGGTATCACGATCCCTGAAATTAGTCTCAGGCAGCATAACTGAGGCAAAGAATAATCACACAGTGTGCACCCGGCTTTAGAAGCACATTGATTAAGAAACAAAGCTGATCTCTGGTTTATAGGAACACAGAATCAATGCTAACCCACAATGCATTACTAACACCATAGGTGAAGCAGTTCAAATAGCTGTAGAAATCGCTAAATGAGCAACATGGAAGCATGTGACGCTTCCAAAACAACTGAGCACCCTCATGGAAAAAAAGCTTTAATGTATTGAGGGTTTTTTTAATGAAGAAAAAGCAACACTGTCCAAGCAACAAATGGTATGTGTGTGTGTGTGTGTGTGTGTGAGAACAAACACATGTTGAGGCCTGCCCATAGCATTGCAAAGCTGGCCTCAGTCACAGGGGTTGCATGACTGAGCCTGACTTAAAATAGATCAAATCAATAAACTTCACCCGCTGCTACGTCACACTTTCTGCGCGCTGATTCCAGCCGTCAGTATCACGTTGATGAACACGGAGATATTTCAGTCCCAACAGGGTTTACGGAGACAAGTCATTACGTCAGTACAACTGCACACTTAGAGGGATACAAGTCAATACGTAAACGCATACAAATGTCAATATCTCACAAATCACTACTGACGCAAGACGACAACAACACATTTCCCTCATCGCACGAATGCTTCTTTACTAGGGTCTAAAAAAACAAGTCTGACTGGATGTGGATGCCAAAGCAACCAAAAACCGAACAATGCAAAAAGTACTACTAAACTGTAGTTAAAAAAAAAAACATACCTTTCATGAACCAAGTTGAAATATTAGTGTAGACAACATATTTATATAAGTTGTTAAATAGAAATTCTAGTCACCTCTCCAAACATTACATGAAAAGAAGAAAAAAAAGATAACAATATTGTATTTGGGGCAACTGTGATGCAATGTTCAAAGCAATATTTGAATGCAACACAATTAAACATTTTAAAGCAATACTTGCCTGATCCATACCCTCATCACAAAATGAAGCACGACTTGGAGACGTAAAAGGAGGGACAGAAAAATATATTTTAACACACAGACAGACCTACAGTCTAGGCTCATTTTGAGAGGGGATTTGCATTGCTTTATGCAGGAGAATAAAGAACCGCTTTAAGAGCCACTTCAATCTTGGTTATTTAATAAAGCCGAAATTGAAATGAGGGTTTGTCTGGAAGCAAGGTAGATATCAAGGGCTTCACCCATCCATCCTCAGCATGACACACTTCAGACTTGTGAGTTTGACCAGCTAAACGTGCACCTGTATGTAACACAGAGTTGCAAAAACACAAGCAGAGCCAACCGGAAGTGCAGTGATTACTATGCATAATGAACATAATTGTAGCCTTCTTGCGCCCTGAGGAATGAAAAAGGCCAGCCACAACACTTAGCAAGCAAGTATTTGTGCCAAGTCCACTAGTCATGTTTACCTCGTCTGAATTTTCAGTCCCAGCATCCTTTCCGCCACCGGCATTACTGTTCTTCGTGCTGCTTTTTGCAGATTTGGTTGGTTCCTGTAAATGACCACAAAAGAGCCAATAAATGAACATCTGAGTCATAAATCAAAGGAGGCTCCTATTATTTTGATCACTCCTTTCATCTTGGGGATGGGTCTCTGCATGCAAGGACTGGTATGACAGGTGATGGCCAACAGCAGCCCAATGGCAACTAGATTCTGAATCAGACAATGACATTCACAAACCATTGACTGCTTTCTGGGAATGACAATGATTTTAGTTCACACCGTGGACTCCAGCATCATACACACAGTAACAAACTTGTCCGCTAATACATCGAGCGTTTATATAACGATGCCCAAAGCCCATCCACAGCTTGTCCGCTGAAACATTGACTCATGCAGGGACAGGAGAACATGTTTGAGAGTCCAGCTTATGCTGCAGTCTGTCAACTAATGCGCCTCTATTCACATATTAACGGCCGATCATAATCTCACTATAGAAAACTGATCTGTAATGTAAACACCGGGTAAAACAGCTATCGCACAGCACTCTTTCAAACATACATGGCTCATATTTTAAATTCCCGTCACGTTGAGCTAAAGAAAGCGCGTTTTTGTCATTAAAACAAAAAAAGTCATTATTTTGACTTGAGACATAACGTACACAAATGCGCCCTTAGCGGGCTAGCGCGGCCTTCGCTCACTAAAAACAGCGCCAGTAAATGTTGCAGAATAATTGTTTTACAAACAGAATTCTCGGACGCATTAAGTAGACACGTGTTATGATTGTAATGTGTACTTTACCTTCTCTTTTTTAGTTTTATTCGGCATTTTGCAAACGTTGTCTTCAGCCGTGCCTCCGTGATAAGGCTTCCCTCGCACTCACTCAGACGGTTACCTCGCCCGCCCTTCACCAGCTTCACCAGCAACAATCTGATTGGTCAGCAAGGCACGAAACTAGATAGCAACAGTACAGCGGAATTTTTCTATTGGCTGCTTTTCGAACCAGACGGTCTTGAGTTTTCCAAACGGGGTCCTGGCTGCGACGAGGAAGGGGACTACAGCTGTTGTTCAGTACGGCTTAGCTATCTCTTGTGGAGGTCCAGATTGACACAAGAGGAATTGATTGTGGGAGGGAGACTTGTGTTGGTGACATTGACCGTCAACATAGGGTCATCCAGAGGTGGTTTTGGTTGCATAATGCAAAAGAGCTGGACACTTTACACACTTTTATTTGTGAATATTGATGCATTTGAGAACATTTGGTGGTCCAGCTTCAGAATAATTGTCTCATCAGATAGACTGTATACATTCAATGTATTAAGGGTATTATTCTTTATGATTAAAAATCCCAAAAGCTGCATAGAGGACTGTTCCACTGTAATTTTCTTACAACATGGTTAAAATTCACCAATACACTGTCTAGCTTAGAACTAGTGTTACAAATGATCCTTATGATTTTTCAACCACGTATCTCATCTGTTTATATAAAAACACAGTATTGGTAATATATATATATATATATATAACATCTATAGTGTATATTATCTAAAGAGTTCATCATAAAAACGTCCATACAGAAGCATCTACTGCCATCTATTGGTACATTTTTCTCAAAACCATTTCGCCTATATATTCATTAAATAAAAAATAAAAAAATAGAGAACAGAAACAAGATTGCATTCACAAGCATTTATTTGAAGTACAGGAGATATAGATTTCATTATTTGTATTTACCGGTCATTAACTTCCGATTTCATATTTTACTATTTTTTAACAAATTCACTAGTGAATAAATAAATATGGTGCTAAAGGATAGTTCACGACCAAAATGAAAATTAAATCATTAATGTCGTCTATTCAAACCCGTATGACTGGAAATTCTTCTAAACACAAAATAAGATAAAGTCCATGGACTTTAATTGTATGAAGAAAAAAAAAAAAAAAGAGAGACATTTTTCTAGTCATGGCCAAAAGTTTTGGCAGTGACAAATTTTGTTTTGCAAAGTTTGCTGCTTAAAGGGTTAGTTCACCCAAAAATGAAAATTAGCCCATACATTACTCACCCTCAAGTCATCCTAGGGGTATATGACTTTCTTCTTTCAGACGAATCCAGTCGGAGTTATATTAAAAATTGTATTTGATCTTTCAAGCTGGCACTCGGCGGGTGTTGCATGCATCAGTCCAAAAGAAATTAAATAAAAAGCGCCCACCCATAAAAAAATTGAAGTTATGAAGAACAATGGTCAACCCTGTAAAAAATGATTCATATTTTTTTGCCAATAAAAACCTTTAAAACTTATATGCTTATCATTGTTTTTCAGTATACCATAGAATAGAAAAATAATCTGCAAATACTGAAGCTGCAAACTTTGAAAAAACATTAAAAAAAATTTGCCCATGACTGTACATAAGAAAGTTAGTGATTCGGTATTGTACATGATGGTGAGTAAAATAATTTTCATGTTGGGGTCAACTATGCTTGTTCCTAGGCTATTTTTAAAACATACTCATAGTAGGAGTTCTTCCATTGTACATGAATTATATTGATTCATTCACAATAAATGATCAAAACCAGTCAAGGCAGAAACACTTACCCTTCATGGTAAGCAGCAGCTTCATTTTTGGCTGACGTTTTTTATTTCCTCCCTGGATGCGGATGTCAGCTGTAACATTACCATCATTAAAACACAGTATAAACCAATCAACCAGCAAATGCCTAAACAGCGGAATTCCTAAATACATTAGTCTTCTGGTTTAGTCTCTATCTATTTCATGCATATATGAAAAACGACTTTTATGTGTAATGCACAATTACAAGTAATACAAGTTCAGTAATCTCATGTTCAAGATGTTTACTAGAAGCAGGTACAGCATATTAGTTTTTAATTTGTAATAAAAACTAGCAATTTTACTTGCACTCATATTTGATGTACATGCAAATAAATACACAGTGCAGTGTGCCTCATTCATGAAACACCAACATAATGAACTTGTATATAATGTTCATAAAACCAAACCGCTTCACTCAGTGTGGCAAAGTACCTAATAAGAAGTTTTATGAACAATTTACAAAGAAATCCATTCTGCACCCGTTTTTATGAATGAGGCCCAATGTGTGCAAAATGTTTTTTAAAAAAAAGAATGCACAAGTCTAATACCAGCAGTAAAAAGCATATCAGTAAGAGGCAAAGACAGAAAGGGTTGCTGTGATTTATTTTAGCTAGCACAGAACATGTGCAATTACACCAACTGTCTGTAGATGCTAAAGTAGCATGGTAGCAATGTGAAAATTATAACACAACATTAATTCCTTAAAAAAATTTAAACTGGAAAGAAAAGCAATCAATACGGAGTACAGTGTAATAAAAACTACGGAAGCCAAGCCTGATATTTTCTGGCCAGAGTTGTGAACGCATATGTCCTTGAAGCATGAACTCCACACCATTTCTCTTCTCTGAGCCTGGATCTTTCTGGCTCCTGCATTAAAATATCTTAATTTATTTAAATGGAACGAACAGAGCAAACAGCTTTACAGACTTAAATGTTTAATACACATCACATTCATTATATGTTTTACATTACCTTTGGGAAAAAGGAATGATTTCTGCTGGAAACAAAATAAGGAAACAAGTAGCTCATCACCAGATGCTTTTGACAAGATAGCAAAACTTTTACACATACTAAGGGTTCATTACTTGATGAAAGTTTTCATTTTCTTAGAGGGATTCCTTCCCCAGCACCCACTTCAGAATGAATGCTTTTCAGTCCACGTTTTCACTGGCATTACCTGCCAAAAGGTTAAGAATAGACATGAAACATTCTAACTGGATAAAGCAAATACAAAGAATACTTCAAAATCACTTATTTACATTCAGAGGTATCATGTACATCCCTAAACCTACTCTTTGAAGGTCCTTTACAAAGCCTCAAAATTGAATTCAAATGTATCCAAGTTTAGTTGCTCAGTGAAAGAACCAGGAAGGGGAGAGAATGACATGGGTTCCTCAGATTCCAGAGGGTTTTCCTCTTCATTATTTGTCTGCATTGTGTCCTGACTATCTACTTCCATCACAGTTATATCCCCCACAGAGATTTCAATAGATTTAAGAACTTGTTGATCGTCAAAATCTTCCTCTTTTGCATTGTTTTCATTTGGAAGGTCAGGTTTTAGGATGGCATCCTCAAATGCTTGTTCAAATTCTGAGTCTTTGTTCTTGGGAGATTCTTCTCTCTGGGCAAGATTTAAGTCCTCATTCTTGGGGGGTTCTTCTGTCGGTGCAAACTCGAAGTCTTCGTTCTTGGGAGATTCTTCTCGCTGGGCAAGATTTAAGTCCTCATTCTTGGGGGGTTCTTCTGTCTGGGCAACCTCGAAGTCTTCGTTCTTGGGAGATTCTTCTCGCTGGGCAATATTTGAGTCCTCATTCTTGTGGGGTTCTTCTGTCTGGGCAACCTCGAAGTCTTCGTTCTTGGGAGATTCTTCTCTCTGGGCAATATTTGAGTCCTCATTCTTGGGGGGTTCTTCTGTCTGGGCAACCTCGGAGTCTTCGTTCTTGGGAGATTCTTCTCTCTGAGCAAGATTTGAGTCCTCATTCTTGGGGGGTTCTTTGCTCTGGACAACTACTGAGTCTTCGTTCTTGGGAGATTCTTCTCTCTGAGCAAGATTTGAGTCCTCATTCTTGGTGTATTCTTCGCTCTGGGCAACTTCTGAGTCTTCGTTCTTGGGAGATTCTTCTCTCTGAGCAAGATCTGAGTCCTCAATTTTGGGGGGTTCTTCACTCTGTGCAATTTCTGAGTCTATGTTCTTGGGAGATTCTTCTCTCTGGGCAAGATCTGAGTCCTCAATCTTGGGGACTTCTTTTTGAGAAACTACTGAATCCTCATTCTTGAGAGGTTCTTCTCTCAGGGTAACTGGTGAGTCCTCGTTCTTAGGGAGTTCTTTTTGGGCAACTCCTGACTCCTCGTTCTTGAGAGGTTCTTCTCTCATGGGAATTTTCAAGTCATCGTACTTGAGAGGTTCTTTGCTCTGGCAAACATCACTAACATTTTTGTCTTTATTGCTGGACTCTCTGCAGGTTGACCCACTGTCTTGAGGAGCAAATCCAGAGTTTTGTTTGTCACCAACACTGCCACTGACAGAGGTTTTAACTGCGGCACTGCCACTGTAGAAAATGTGAAACAAATCTTTTGCTTTTCCTGCTGCAAGAGTTGTCTTTGGCTTTACAGTTTTGGGAGGCAGGTCTCTGGCATTAGAAGAAAGCTGAGGAGGAGGACGAAGGATTACGGTGAGCTTCTGCTCCTCCTCAGGCACTCCAGGAGCAGCCACATCAGACTCGAGAGTAACAACACATTGACTGGGAGTAACAGGTTTCATCTGGCTGGAATTTACCATTTTTGGCGCTGCAGTGGGAGACTGAACAGGTACAGATATGCTGAAGATATCTACAGGGTTTGCAGGGATGTCCTTTGTTTGTTTTAATTGCACCTCTTCTCCACTAAATGCCTTAGAGATGAGGTCTGCTGACAATGTTGGGCCCTTCTGAGTTCCTGTTACAGGTGCAGGAGATTTGTCAGTAGATGGTGTTGGTTTATTTTGCACACCTGTGTAAGACTTCCTAATAACCATGGGAGATAAGGGAGGAGGTAAATTAGGATTAGTTTTATTTTCGTTGTATGCTAGCCATACACCTGCGGGGGGCAGCAAAGCTTTTCCTGTCAATTTGATAGCAATGGATTTTGCAGCAGCTATAGACTTGGAAAAAGGATCTAGCTCAGCATCCTTGTTTTCTGCCATTTCAGAAGGCATACTCTCTTCCTCTTCCTTTAAGAATTGTGCCGCCATCCTCTCAGCCTCTTTCTCTAGCGCCGTCTTCTGTGGCTTTTTCAGACCAAACTTTCCAAAGCCAGGCCGACCAGTAGCTTCCTCGTTCTTCTTGCGAAGTTTAGCAAGCAAGGCGGGACTTGGGCCACATAATATTTTAGGAGGCTCGCTGGGTTTCTCTGATTCTGATTTGCCATCTTTAGCACTGAGCTTTCCTGTGCTCTCCTTGTCATCTTTGGAATAACCAGCCTTGCCCTTCTGGTGCTGAGCTTTATCTTCCTTTTTTTCATACTTTCCGTTAGTGTCTTGGTCCTCGTCCCATTTTGATTTCGGCCACTTCCCCCAGTCCTCATCTTTGTATTTTGACTTCTTCTCTTCGACCTCCCGAGTGTATTTGTACTTCTTATCATCTTCTCTGCCATACTTGGGCTTCTCCTCTTCTCTACCATATCGGCCTTTGTCATCATCCTTTCTAAGTCTATATCTGTCGTCCTCTTCTCTATATCGATAGTATTCATCATCATCATTTCTGTTTCTAAATCTGTCCTCTTCATACCTGGATCTCTCCCCTTCCTCCTTCCTGTACCTATATGTGTATTCCTCTTCTTTTCTGAAGCGGTTTCGCTCATCATCATCTTTTTTGTACCTAGCTCTCTCATCCTCTTCCTTTTTTATTTTGGCTCTTTCATCATCCTCCTCCCTGTATTTCTGTTTATCTATATCCTCTTTCTTGTATTTCTCCTTGAGTTTATTCTCGCTCTCTTTGATATTCTTATACTCCTTTTCCTTGCTGTACTGTGGTTTTGTCTCCACTTCATTGCTTGACATTTTTCCTTTGCTGTGTTTGGATTTCTTCATATCATCCTGTTCATCGTCTTCACGTTTTCGTTTGTGCTCTGAACTCTTTTGGCTCTCTAAGCCAGCCTGACGGTCCAGGTTCCTCCTTTGTTCATAGAGGGGATTTTCATACATTTTTGCCTGTAGAAATCAATGCATATGAGACAATTACATCTGGTCAAAAAAATGTATAATTTGCAGTCATATCCTAACCTTAATTAAATTTATAATGAATATCATGTGTGATATTTACCTTGTATTTCTCATTGTGAGCATGGCAGGTGACATGGGTCTCAGCACAAATGGGATCACCAAAAAACTCTTCACATAATTGGCAGAAGAATCCCCTTACAGGGATCAAGAACTCAGAGCCTAAAGGAAAGAATACAGCACAAAATTAAATACATTTACCAGTAGTGTGTAATGGTTTTGATGGCTGGTAATTTACCCTTGATCTGCTCCAAAAAGGAGGCACACTGCAAGAAAACCACAGTTTAGGACACTGCAATTAACATGGCACCAATTAGGGAAGAGAATCATAAAGAAACTGAATGATTCTGATTCTTTGACCCTCAGATTCCATTTAATGATTGCAAATCCTTAACGGTGCATGTGTTAAAACAAATGAATTGCTTTAGCTTGAACAAAATGAATGTGTTTAGCAATCACATTTCATATTATATTTTCATATTTCATATTCTGATTAGCAATCACATTTCATAAAGATGTTGTTACCTTTGGCTGGCTTTGAAGTCCTTTTTCCAGCAGGGGGTTTCTTTTCACTCTCTGATTTTGCCCAAGGTCTGTCATAAGGATCTAGAGTCTATACGAGAGCAAAACAATTGATGATTGAAGCAGAAGTGTGACTGGCAGAAATAAATGCAGCATTCATAAAATTTTTAAAAAAAAATCTGATTTCATATATTAGCACACATACCTTCCTATGGGTTTTGCTGTGTAAATGCATGAAATAATCGAACATTGAACCACTGGTAACATTGCAGTTTTTACACCAGTGGTTTCCTGCGTCGTAGTACTCGAACTGCTCAGCAGCAGTGTCCAGGGAATGGCTGCTCGATGGAAGAGGTGACTTGGGTTTTTCAGGAGACGCTCTTGATTTTGAGGAGGCTACCTAGATTAATTAAGGCAGTACAAAAAATGCATAAGTAAAAGTGACTAAGCAAGCTGAATCAAATACTCTAGAGGCATCTATTTTTAAATGAATGAAGAAAAGCTTTTCAAAGAAACAAATATAACAATCATATTGCCAATCATGAAAGTTTGTCATAGGAGACTTACCTTTGCAAAATAGGCCATCTGTTTTCCAGTCGGGGAGAAGTTACCCGTGGGTTTAATACTTGAATTATTTGACTACTATAAAACTAATGGTTTTAAAAAGCCATTTCAAGATGAGATCTGAAATGGCTTTTATATCATATAACGTACATAAAATTCATCAAGCGCCAATACAATAAAATCTCATTCATAAGACATTTCAAGATATCAAAACACTTTTGCAGTGAATATCTTTCGATTTTTTAAAACTAAAAACAAATAAATGAATATGTATGTATATATATATATATATATATATACATACATACACACACCCCTTAAATTCAATGCCAATTGTGATGCCAATAATAAAGAATTTAGGGACTAGTATATACCTTGTTATATGCAAACATAAGAACACATAATTATGATTAAACAATGCTACGCTATTACGCTAGAATGCTATTATCATTAAACAGGCCTACGCTATAGAAAAAAATAATGTGTTCATACATTTCAGAAGTTAATCATAGCCACAATTTACTACAACATGGAAACAAATTAGTAAATTGTGGCCACGACTTAAATAAAACAAGAGAACAAATTAGTAAATCGGGACAACCAATAAATATACTGTGGGAACAAATTCTTAATTTGTGGCCCCAACATACATTTTTTCCTACTATAAGTCACTTTGAACTAAAACAGTGGTTTTCAAACGGTGGTACGCTGTGATACCACCAGGAGTACACAAAGCGTCTCAGGTGGCTTACAACTCTAGAAATGTACTATACTAAAAATGCTGCCTTCTGGTCTGTGTGGATTTTATTCTGTGCTGAAAGAGCCACAAAAGCTGATTTAATCAAGAAAAAAGCAGCATGCTATTCTGTTTAATCTCAAAGGAAGCATTTAAGTGCCAGAACCAAAGGCAAGCATATTCTAATCCTCTCTAAAAGTTACTACTGCAGTGTGTGTGTTTTTAGATGTTACTCCTCAGGGTCCTTCCACAGATCTGCAAAGGCATGCAGCATGATTAAACCGAACTACAGGAATATTGATCTTAATAATCAAAATATGGCATTATGTTGCTCACAGTTACTTGGATGCCCTGATTTGATCAAAGGTGGTTTTAATTTCAGAACCACTGGACTAAAAAGCATCTGTAAAAATAGTAACCAATAATGTTTCAAGAGTATCAAATACATTTTGGCGATGATCCTCTATGTTAAATAAAATAGTCGACTGAATAGGCTACTGATATGACTGGAGTCTTCATCTCATGTGAGTGAAGATTGTTTTAATTCCATATTTTTGAGTATTTTTAATTTCATTAGGGGTCATTTCTTTACTAAGAAAAAAAAACTGAATGCAGTTATTTTAAAATTATTACTGAAAGTTATTTAAATAAATATTTTGTGGAATCAGTCAAGATTTAAATGCCACTTGAAAAAGTGGCAGTCTAATTCTTAACTATTAAAAAGCCAATCAAGCGAAAGTACCTTTCCTGTAACAGAATTAGCAACTCTACCTTATTGTAGGAGATGCTGGTTTTGGACCCTGATTTCCCTGGGCTTCTGGCTGACTCCTTCTTACTCTGAAGGGGCTGCTGCACATGCTCCCCAGAGATCTTCGAGTCTTTGTAGTCTATACCGAGAATAAGAGCCACTTTGACCAGCTCTTCATATTTTTGATCTGCCTTTCTCTGTTCAGCACGCAATTTAGAGATTTGGGCCATTGCATCTTCTTGGAGCTGACCGAGCTCGATGAGGACAGGGTCCTTGTGCCCATCCTTCTCCCTTCGCTTCTTTCGAAGAAGCTCCCCTAAAGGAACAAATCAATCACTGTATAATACAGTGAGCCCTTACATATTTATAAAGAAAACACTTCCATTTTACACTAAGAGGGAAATACCTTGCTGCTTTCTCAATGTCTCCACATCCTTTAAGAGATTTTCTTTCCTCTTGTGTTGCACTTCTTTCTCCTTTTTTAGATTTTCAAGCTCTTCCATGACCTGAGACAGAATTTTATTTTGGCCTTAAACTTCATCAGCAAAAACAAAGGAATGGGAATCCTGATGAATTTAACAATTGTGCTTCTGATTCCACTTTCTTATTTCCCCCCAAAATGTACAAAAGAAAAATGTAAAGATTGTAGATGTTCAAGATGTTTGTTAATGAAGCCGAATGGAGAGGAAAAAAATGCAACAATAACCAGTTTTTGATTCTCAACTCTACAAATAAAACTTTTGTACAAAACTTTTGTTTTGTAAATGAAACAACAATTTTGAGATGTTTGCACATTCAATAATCCCATCAAATCTCTTGGTTACCTTTTGTTTTTGGCTAGCAGTATTCTTATCTTCCATTTCTTTCCTCTGAATGCCACTGTTGATCGTTTTAGAGGCCACAGGATCTGATTTAGGGGGTGCTGAAAGGATAAATCAAATCATGTTGGTAAACTGTGATGAGCGTCGTCTAAATCACCCAAAAATCTCTTAGTATTTAATCACACTCTTGTCATTCTGAAACCATGATTACATTCTTCCACAAAAGGATTTTAAACAATATTTGCATAGCTTTTTTTCCATTATTCATTGTGACCATGTCTGTGAAGCTCAAGGAAGCCACGTTATTTATAATTTACTCTGCTTGTTTGCGAACTTGCGCTAATTTGCGCTGCTCTTGGTAGATTGCGTTTGCTTATTACGGAAATTATCTGTTTGCATCGGTGTTCTTTAATTTGTGCGATGTCAGCATATCACCCGCAGAACTTTCCACGCCTATCGGTGCTTTTCTGGAATTGTATTCCTTGTTTGGTAAATCTGGCTCTCAGCATAAAGCAAGTTATACAGACTGCATTGTGGTGCGTTTACAATCTTTTGTGGTCCTTCAAGGAGCTTTACAGACATGGTCACTATGAACTCTCATTATACAGAACAGACCTGTGTGAACATTGTTCCAAAATTCTCCTTTAATCAACTGCACCAACATAAGGTCAAATACATAATGCAAAAATTTTAATTTTCTGTAAGCTATTCCTCTTTATGAATAATATATTTTAAAGGTCACTAACCTTTTTGATCATCGCCTTTACTCTCATTCGGCACAGTTTTGATGATTTTAAGAAAGGGTCGCTCAATGTTAGGATGGCTGTAGGGATCCATTGGACTGGGAGGAGGTACCGGCATACCTGGAGGTGGGTACATCGGCCATCCCGGAGGCATATATGGAATGTAATTGCCATACGGATCATAACCTCGTGGTGGGTAGTCAGGTGGCATTACCCCACGTGGGGGTGGCCCGGGGTATGGGGGCATGGGATGTGTCGGGAGGCTGGGTTGGGAGGGATACGTCTGAGACCCAGGACCCACAGTGGGTGTCGTAGGCCAGCTGCTTTCTGGTTGAGCAATGCCAGGTTGAGCCTCTTTCTTGTTCTGACTATGTGAGCATGGAGATGTTTTTTCTGGGGAAACTGGCTTTTTCTTGCTGCGACTTGAAGTTTGATCTAAACTGCCACTTCGGCTTCGACGACTTCTGCTTCTACTACGGCTGCTACTCCGACTGGAGCTCCTGCTGCTACTGCTGCTGTAACTCCTGCTACGGCGCTTTCTATCCGAATGCCGACGAGTTGGTGTTTTCGCAGGGGTGTTACCGTGCAGGCGCGCTTGCGTCCTAGCGGCCATCTTGCTTATCTCAGCTACACCCAGGTCCAAGCCAATCGTTTTCAGCAAGTCTTGTATCTTCTCATATTCCTCTACCTCCTTCCTCACCTTGATGTCCTGTGGCCCAACGCCAGGTGGGAAGTCATTAGGTTCTTCCTTGGCATGTACCTCAGGTGTGGCCGAGGGATTATGCCTGTCTGTCTGCCTACTTTCTCCATGCGAATGGATCATCACATTTTCTCCAGTATTGCTAAATGTGTAAGGTTCTCTTATCTGCATATCACAAGACTGTGGGTAACTTGTGCCTGGAAAGTTGGAATTTGTTGGTGTCACCTCATTGCCCTCTTCTTCGTCCCCATAGAGGAACTTCTCCTCATCTTCAATATCTGGATGACTCTTTTTTAAATTCTGTGGTTGGGCAACCTTGGCTATCATTCCAAGGAACTGCGTGAGGTCTGATTTCTCCTGTCTTCCCTTCTCATGAGGGAGGAGCAGGTCACTTCCACCCTCTCTGGCTGGTTGGATCTTACCAATTAGCTCTTCGAGAACACCACTATCAGAGCTTTTACCCAGCATGGATGCTAACAAGTCTGGATCCATGGTTTTGGAAAGTGCGCAGAGAAGCTGTTCAGCCTCATGTGAAAGACCACCATCTGGATTTCCTCGAGGAGAATCACTATTCTGAAATACATTGGTTAAATATGCTTTAGGGACACTAGCATCATTCATTACTTTCTAAAAAATAAAGCCAATTAAATATCAGCTAAAGCAGTGGTAACACTAGACTTTGAAGAGGCAAAATAAGCATGTTGCACGGGTATGAATGAAAGTCAATGGAATGAGAATTGTAGTGTGGCTGCCCCTTAGCTCTGTAGGCTAACCAAAGACTAGGGATGCACCGAATGTTCGGGAACCGACATAATTCGGCCGAATAAATTGTACCGAACAATGACGTGACGTGATCAAATAGAGGCACGCAATAATGCAGCAAACACGTCGGCAGTGTGGAAGCATTTATAACTCTCCGAGAAAGACGCAAAAATCATTATAAGCACCGCTAGAGAGAGACTATTTAGTACTGCATCACATGTCTCCGATGAGGAGAGGAAGGGGTGTTTGTTGCTGGTTACTGTATGATGACTGAAATCGCGAAATGGCCTCAAACGATTAGTAAATAAACTGCAGAACGTTACGTTTTCTAACACATGCACGAATTGCATGTATCAAACAGTGCTGCACGAGCTCACGGCGCTATCTGCTTGTTAGTTAAGGACAGGGTTCAAAGTCCAAAGCGCAAGGAAAATCTGCGCTGAAACGGTTACTAGTGAGCTGCTCAGTAACATTTTTGTGCATATGCAAAATAAAGTAAGACAATAATAATTACAACAGCCCTATTAATACATTTATTATAACACTCACACGGTGTTCAAATTGTAATATTTTCTAATGTTTTAAAAATTATCTTCTGCTCAGCAAGGCTGTATTTATTTGTACAGTAAAAAATACATAACTGATTCAAGAAGGGGGGGTCTCAAATTATTTTGATGAAATATGATTTTACTAACTTACTAATTTTAAGTTAAATTGTGCTCTGTTGGTATAATGTCTGCTAGAATGTTTAAAACATTTTCAGTGTTGTCACGCCTCTGGACTGTTTGTGTTTGTTTTTCTCCCCATGTGCTCCCCATGACCCAGTTTCTCCCTTGTTGGATTGTTCATTTGGTTCAGGTGTGTCGTGTTAATTGCCATCGTTTCCCCATGTATTTAAGCCCTAGTCTGTGCAGTCTATGGCTGCGTTTACACTCGGCATTAACATGCGACCTGTATCCGGATGTTGTCCACATACACATTGAAAAGACAAGTGTAAACGCGCTTCTGATCGGAATGTTATCCGATCAGCGTGTCCTAGTCCAGAGGTAGTAGAGGACGCATTGTGATCAGATCTCAGTGTAATGTAAACGCAATCCAGCCATCGTGTCTGCATTCGCAGGTTGTAATCACGCAAAACGCCGCCCCCCTCTCTCCCGATCTGTCGGAAGAACAGAGCGCTAGAGAGACTTGTACATTTATTTTGATTTGTAAAATGTCCCGGAACTGAAAACAGTTTTCAAAAGAAAACCCACCACTTCAGGTCTACTTTGCACTGCAGACTTATTTAAATATTGCGCAGGAAATACAGATCCGATCTGTTATCCAGATCGAGAAGTCAGCTGATGTTGCCAAGTGTAAATACGCCGTGTCCTGATTGACTGATGATCCGATCTGCTTGATCAGATCACGGTAATCGCATGTTAATGCCAAGTGTAAACTCAGCCTATGTTTGTCGGGTCTCAAACGGCATGTCCGTGTGTTACAGCCATTCCTAGTGTGGATTACCCCCTTGTTTTGGATTTATTAAAGACACAGTCACACTCTCCGACACAAGTGACAAGTGTTAAAGGGGTCATATGACGTTGCTAAAAAGAACATTATGTTGTGTATTTGGTGTAATGCAATATGTTTATGCGGTTTAAGGTTCAAAAAACACATTATTTTTCACATACTGTACAGTGGTGTGAAAAAGTGTTGGCCCCCTTCCTGATTTCTTATTTTTTTGCATGTTTGTCACACTTTAATGTTTCAGATCATCAAACAAATTTAAATATTAGTCAAAGATAACACAAGTAAACACGACATGCAGTTTTTAAATGACGGTTTTTATTATTAAGGGAAAACTAAATCCAAAACTACATGGCCCTGTGTGAAGAAGTGTTTGCCCCCCTGTTAAAACTGTGGTTTATCACACCTGTGTTCAATGTCTCTAGCCACACCTAGGCCTGATTACTGCCACACTTGTTCACAATCAAGAAATCTCATAAATAGGGCCTGCCTGACAAAGTGAAGTAGACCAAAAGATCCTCAAAAGCTAGACATTATGCCGAGATCCAAAGAAATTCAGAAACAAATGAGAAAGAAAGTAATTGAGATACATAAGTCTGGAAAAGGTTATAAAGCCATTTCTAAAGCTTTGGGACTCCAGCGAACCAAAGTGAGCGCCATTATTCACAAATGGCAAAAACAT